TATCTCTCCCTTTATAGAGTAACTAATTAGTCTAATTGCTGGTCTGCCCTCCTACTGTATCCTCGTTGGTTCCTCCTTGTCAGGAGACGTCTTGTCCTGACATCTACCCAGCAATCATCCAAATTATCATCTTCTTCACCTGAAGATATCATCTGTTCCTCATTATCACCCGTTCCCGGCTGACCACCTAATTGAAGGGTGGAGGAGTTTGAAGGTTCAAGCCGACCTTGCAAATCAAATGCATTCATCTCCTCCTCATCGTTAGAACTTGCTGATTCATATAAGTCCTCCTCGCTGGAGCTGTCATTCAAAAAACCTGTAGCAGATGCCGGAATCACAACACATACGTATGTACACATATATAGCAACACAAACACAAAACAGCTGTGAGTTCTTATCATTTATAAACTCACTTGTTTTAAGTCTGAAAAGCGAGAGTACAATCAGCTCAATCAGAAGATGGTGAAATTTATACGGGCCACTGCCTGTTGTGTATGACCAGAGGAAAATCAATTTCCCTTTTCCCGTTTGCCCTCTGTATTTGTTGACCAGATGAACTGTGTACTTAAAGCTGAAGCAATTGCTTTTAATCAATGGGCATTTTAAAGTTCAGCCCTCCTCTCTGAGTTTTTCCTCCTGCTGGTTTACTAGATCAATAATGCTTACCCTTTAGTTTCCCTTCCCTCTCCAACTCACAGCAATGAAAAGAGAAGACTAATATATCCCATGTGTTAATGTTTCGGCATGTTTTGAGCCTGCCCAGAGCTTGCAAGCTTGTTAACCTGAACTTGAAAAAAAGATGTTTACCATTAAAAACAAACAAAAAAACAAGCAAGCAAGCAAGCAAACATACATACACACATGATTTTTTTTTCTGTTTTGCCTTTATTGCAAGTGATCACTGTTATATGTTATATCATTCATTGAATATGAACCTTATTTTTTTCAAAAATTGACTTCTGCTTTGTGATTATCTTAATAATCTTTATTTGTAAACCACGGTTTGTAGTGTAGAGATTTGATAGCTATCTAGCTAGATGGACAGATAGATGACAGATAGATAAAGTTGTTCTCCGTGAACCAAACCTCTGACCTGTTGCAAATCTTAATTCATGGGTCAGTCTCTATATTGTTCCTTATCCTATACCTTTGCCTATCATGTAGCATTTTGGCGATATGGAGTGCCACAAGTAAGAACTCTTGGGATCCATCACTTGGCTGTCTTGCAGGTATCCTGCATCCTTCTTATTCTCTGTAGGCTTATATGCGAAGGCTCAGTAAGACAAAATGACAGGGCTGACAGTGGGGGCATTGTCAAGGGAAAAGCAGCTCCGGGGCATTAAGGAGGAGGCAAGAGCTGTTGACAAGAATCTTCAGCTGGATGGAGATCAAATTATCTATGCCCATTGAGGATCCCCTGTCATCTGTAGTACTGTGTTCATTATTATTCAGAGGTATTATTAAACCATCTTGTAGAAGAAGTTATTTATTTTTTTAACATAGTCCCCTACACACAGTCATATAATGTGCATAGACTAAGTGTTTTCCATGCATTCTTATCTCGATTGATGACTAAGAATGTTGTTAGTGACAGAGATAGAAGATCACCACGAAGCCTTGTCAATTAGTCATGAAGCTGAAATGTCAAACAGCCTGCCTGGAGATGACCAGGATGAGTGCCTTGCTTATCCAGGAGAGCTTTGTCAACACCTCTGTATCAACACTGTGGGGTCCTACAAGTGCTCATGTTTCCCAAGCTTTACTTTGCAAGATGATGGACTCAGCTGCAATCCAGGTGAGACAATAAACCCAGGTGAGAAAATGTATGTTTGGGCCTAACCGTGACAGCATTACTTTCATAGTTAGTGTTCCTTCATTAATGAAGTACTCGTTAGTTTCTAAATATATTCATCACTTAGTGACTTAAGTATTTGGTGAACTTTGATCTTCAGCATTTTTTTGCTTGTCTGTTTACCTTTATCTTTGTTCTTACAAAGATGAGACATTGCATAATGCCTCAATCATTGCAAGTTGAGAATACCTATATATGAACCCTTCTTCAATAGCTCCACTATCTCTAGGAACAAGTAATATTGCAAGCCGCCCAGAGTTACCTTGTAATAAGATAGGCGGCCAATAAATTGGATAAATAAATAAAAGTAAATAAATACAAATCAGTTGTATTTATCCTCTTTTATCCTGGATAAAAGTTCAACAAGGCTTTTTCAAAAACCAATTAAATAGCCCATGACAAACATTTAGCATTCTTTCTTATTTTCTATGGCTTGTTTTTTTTTATTCAAACATTGTTACATCCTGAATAATTCATAACAATCTCTACCAGACTGCCAGTGATGTGCAGCTCTAACTATCTTGTTTTACTTAGTAGAAACTAGTTTAGCAACTAGTGAACTTTTATGGTGGGTATTGGAATATATATTCTACTTAAGCAACCAGAATGGCTTTATTATTTTGGATCAATCAGATGACAGTCTTCAAGAACATCTGGGTGGAAGTCAGACATTCTTTTAAATTGTCAGTTGGTTCATTCCATAGGGCAAATGTTCTTCTAGCAGTCATCTCTCAGGTGCAATCCTACTGAAAGAGGAAAAGAGGGTAATAAACTTAAATAACTTTGCAAGACTATTTGTTGCGATATAACTACATACTGTTTCCAGAATCCAGAGGCAGTGTGCTATATTGCTGTGAAATGGAAGTGACCAACAAACAGCAGCCCTTTGGAGGGTTCTGTGGTTCTGAACACTGTCTGGATAACCAACATTGCCTTTAATCCAGCAATTTCTTCTTAAGATCTACTAGTAGACATTGTACTATAGGTAGTCCTCAACTTACAACAATCAGAAGCTGGCTAGGAGAGTTGCAAATGGCAATAAACACATACCAGTCATGCCAGTTGCCAAATGCCCAATTTTTGATCATGTGACCATGGGGATGCTGCTAAATGCAAGGTTCACTCATAACTTTTTTCAGTGCTGTTGCAATTTTGAATGGTCACTAAATGAATGGTTGTAAGTTGAGGACTACCCGAATTCCTTCCAAATTTAATTCACATTTATGAATAGTTCCAATCATCTAAATGTAAGTCTGTATAAATTCTATCTTTATAAATCTTATCTTTATAATAAGTAGATTATTCACTTTCTGCACTGTGAGGCACAAATTGTCGGTTTTCTCCTTTTGAGTGTTTCTGATTTTTTTTTTTTAAAGGAAAAAAACTGCAAAACAATTTGTATTTTTAATTTGTCAGGCCTCCTAATATTTATATGCTTTTCCTAATACAAATAGTTCTACAAGCAGCTCCCTGCAATAAATACATATTTTTTATAGTGTATGGTATTTTGTATAACTTATGCATAACTTTACATGTCTTTTTAAAACTATATATTTTATATATGTTTTAAAAATCAGAGATCTACATTTCAGAAGTTGTAGAAGTGGATGAGCAAATTATTATTGCATTCTGGTTTATGTTGTAATTTGCAGGATGCAAATTGGGTAGATAAATATTAAAATGAGAACCAAGTAAGATTCTCCCCCATCCCTGCTGGATTATTTCCTGCATGGAAATAATCACATTGGTAAAAAGTAAAATCCAAAACATGTAGGCATTTCCAGGACAACCATCAGGCTCAGCTATAAGCTGATAAGGAGTTTAAATTGACACTTCAAATGTATTTTTTCCTTCTTCTCCCACCTAATAGAGAAATAAACACAGCATATGTATTTATTGCGCAGAATTGCGCATTAGTAATCTCAGCTAAGTATCATTGTACTGCTTCAAGTGCTCCATTGAACATGGAAAGTTTAAAAAAAGGGGGGGCAGTAAAGAAACATGGAAATGAAAGAACTATACATTTCATGTAGCCTAGGTCTGCAAATGGATTAGTTTCCTTTAAGTTTTTTGTTAGCAAATAGCACAAAGAGAAAGTAGGTATTAAAAATGCTATGGAGTGCATCAGAGATTCTATTCACAGTCAATCAGAAACTAAACAAACCATATTTAAGCTTAACCTGTTGAACAGATTCAATCACATGAATGAATTATGCGCAAACACAAACACTCAAAATTAACCCAGTAGAAATAGTTAAGGGTAAAATAATCCTTACTGGTGAAGTCACTTGTGCATGTGCTCCTGGAAAGTAGAATCTACCTGAAAACTCTCTAGCCTGTTCAATACAATGATTTCAATTCTTTTTCAAATGGGAGGAAAATATAGGAAAGAACTATCTTAAACCTCTCCTTTCCTTCCACTGTTCAGCAAATGTTGGAATTCATGTGTGATTTCCTCGCTTAATGACTGCCCTGTTTAGTGCCCATTCAACATTTACAGCACTGAAAAAATGACTCTGTGACTGGTCCTCGCACTTACGACCATTGCAGCATCCCTGCAGTCACCAGATGAACATTCAGGTGTTTAGCAACCAGCAGGCATGTAAGACCATTACAGCATCCCACAATCATTGCCTTGTGCATTTCACAGCTGGCTTTTGACAAGCACAGTCAATGGAGAAGCTGGCAGTAACATTGCAAGTCAAGGTCCTGTGACGTCACAGTCCCTTAATGACTGTGACACTTATTGACAGAGTTATTGGCCCCAATTGTGGTTGTTCAGGGAGTGCTAACTGTATTCACAATGATTAGATTACTTTCCCTCTGCTTCTCTGTATGCACCCACTTTCTAATTTTTGCTCCTAACAATAAGGCAGAGAATGGGACAGTTATCCAACTTTTATGACAAGATAGGATCGGGGCTGGCTGGTTCCATGGCCAGTGGAAATGGAAATGGAAAGCATTCAGGCCTTTATTTTATCTACAGTAAGCACTGGAGTTCTGGGGTAGATTGGATTGAATCAATATAAACCTAGTGGACTCATGAAGTAAAGTTAGTCCAATACAACTCCCTTATCCAGAAAACTTTGTCACATATCTGCTCTTAGTTATACCTCAAGATAATGTGAAAATGTGTTCCTTTGTATGTTTTCAAGCCTTTTTATTTTGAAAATTTTTATTTTTTTTCCCTGCCAACACCAATAAACCTTCCCCTCTTTCTATCATTATGTTTTTGTCCCATTTCTGCTTCTTCTTTTGAGGAAAATTCAAGAAAATATCATTAGAAAAACTTGTGTGTTTTATTTGAAGAATCATTAGCAAGATTTTGATTCAGTGCAAAATGGACAGTCTGTTAGCCATGTGTTGCATCTTATTTTTACCATTCTATCCCATCTCTATAAATTCATTTGGTTTAAATTTTTATTTTTATTCTGTATCCTCAGTAGAGATTTTTTTTTGTTTCAGTTTATTTCAGAATATTTCCACTCAAAATTAAAGAGGAAAAATAAAATAGATAAAATTAAATTAATTTAAGTTGATTTCGTCTTAGCCTGTAGCTTTTATCAGAAATCCAGTTAAATTGGGCAGCACTCATTCTAATTAGGGAGAACAAATAACATTAGCTTATTTTTTCTTTGCATATTGCCCTCAGTGGAGTTCTGTTTTTAAATACATACTGTGTGCAGTTCTTAAAATTTGTGCAATAAAGATAAAAGCTTTCTGATATTATAGTTTGAGATCTTGTCATAGATGCTGATGTTTTTAATTTAGATTCAAATCTGAGAGTAAATTGTGCTGTGATGTCAGGTTCATATTAAGTTTGTTGCTATGGAAAATAGACTCACTTAGATGTACTCTATTGCACTTGTTTTCTTCAAGAAACAACAAATCAAAAATATGAAACTTGATGTTTAACATTACAACTCTTCCTCTATAATTATTTGTCCATTTTTATTAAGTATTTACAATGCTAAAAATATTTGGTTATAATGCAAAGTTCAATGTAACATAAAGGTTTCATAGTTTAAAAATCCATAGGTGAAGCAGAATGTGTTGATTCTGTCATACTAATTTCATAGTGGATTAATATTGGCATTTTTCTTTTTCAAATTATATCTATTCACATCCATTTCTGTCTGTACAGAAGTCAAAATTTAACACTTGAAGTACTACTTGAAGTGAAAAAATGCTTAAATTCCAGCTTAATTTTTTTTTCTTTTTATGGCCTTGTAATCAGCTTAATGGATTTCAGATGTTCATTTCTGAAAAGATTGTTTATCAAGTAAGTGTCAAATCTTACATCAAGTAAGTGTCAAATCTTAGTGACCACATGAATAGATTTTCTCCATGATATTCATGAATGGACCATGTTTATAGTTTAATCAGATTGCACACTTGTTAGCATCCCTAAGACCAAAGTAATGAATGAAATCCCCTAATGAATACCACCTGGGGCATTTTAACATTTTTTTAAAAATTCATTTTTATTTATTTTTATTTAACTTCAATTTTTTTACTTTAAATATTCCTGTTAAGGAGTTGCAAGTTAAGGAGTTATACCTAACTATGTTTGTCTAACAGTTGAACATACATTGATAGTGGATTAGTCTCCCATTTATATTTTAAATCTATTCCACAAGACCTTCTGAAGTATATTTGTTGCAAGGATATTGTGGTGTAGAAGAAGAGCAAAATAAATTTCCATTGCATAATGTCTAAAGTGGTCCAAAGAGTCTGAAAGCTAAAGACAGTCTTGGTCATATGAGAAATTTGACAGCTGTTTTATCATGAATTCCAAAGGTCAAAATGGGAAAGTTTATTATATATGTGTGTGTGTGTGTGTGTATGAATGTGTATGTATGGTATTCAGCTTTGTTCGGGTATTTTCCCACGTCATTATAGTTGTGCTTTTAAAGTTGTAGCAACGTTTCGGCAGAATCTCA